AACACATTTTTGTAAAGTGTCGATACTTTAATCGCTGTTAAATGTTTTTGTTCTTTGTCAATCCTTTTTTATTTTCATTTAATTTAAGGTCTACAATTTTCTATAGATTTAATTAAAGCAATATTTCTTTTTGCTTCGCTTTTTGTATAGAATTTCAAGGATTTTTTTCTTTTTGTTATCCAATTTTTCCTTTGTGTGCGTGTGTTTTTTTTTTTTGGTATGCCGATGGCAAGAGATGCCATCAACTAACGGAAATAGTATTTCCTGTTTCCACTCGGACCTTCAACCTCAACCCTTTGCTATCCTTTCAGTTTGATAGCAGCTGGTTTTTGGAAAGGATGCGGGTAAGCTGGGGGGCTGGCAGCAACTGCTGCTGTTGCTGCTGCTCGCTTTTGGCGGCCGTTGCACATGTGGCGTACGTATTCAAGTATTTCCCCACCACACATCTATTTTTAGAAAATCCAGTTTTTTGGCAACAACAACAACAACATCAACAAGACGCCAATGCTTTGCATGTTTTGTGGCAGAGATTCGCCGATTTCAGTTTTCAGCGTTTCGATCTCATTATTTGCGTTTTTTTCTTTGTTTATTTTTTTCAAAAACATTTTGATGACACCAAAGTACTGGCGCCATTTAATCATTCATTCAGTCAGTCACTCATTCAATGCAGAGCCCTTCACTTTCAAACAGATTTGCAGCGGCTGCTGCCCAATATGGCCAGGCTAAGACTCTTGTTAACTGAATGAACTGTGTGTGTGAATTGAATGTCTCTCTTGTTCAGGCATCAAAGCACCTTGTTGGTTGCGGTTGTTGTTGTTAAAATGCCAAAACGTTGCATGCGGCGCCTCCATTTATGGCAACAGCTATAGCTGCAACAAGCGGTGCCAGCCAGCTGAAGTTGATGTTGCTTGAAACTCGGCGGCAGCAGCATAACGCAATGTTGCAAAGTTGCAGCGTTTTCAGCCACGCATCTCTTCTATATTGTTGTCACTGGTTTGAAAGTGAAATTTTTGCTTGCGGCACATCTGCTTGCCACTTGTCATTTACTACCACATCCTCCGTCTGTCCCTCTTACGCTCCAGTTTTTCTCAATCAGCGTTGGCATTGTATTGTCGCCGACATCATTGAGATCCTTTTTGTATATGTAAACAGCTCTGAAATTGACAATTAAAAAGTTTGTGATGTAATAAGTAATATATAATTATAATTATAATTATATATAATTAATATAATTGCAAACTACATTTACAATGTACATCACGGCGTAGCTTAAATGAAGTTTGAGCGTGTTCCAGAAACAACTAATTTCTGTTGAGCAATAATATTTTAATAATTAAAAAAATAAGTAAAAGAATCGAAATCGTACATATAATAAGACAAATCCATATATATCCTGTCCATTGTATATAATTTCTCAATAACAAATTTTAATTGAGCAAAATAAAGCCAATCATGAACGTTGTTTACGAAATTCTTAAAATACTTTTCAACACGAATAAACAAACAAAAATGAAATGTTTAAAGAAATGCGGAAATATTTATCATTATTGAGAAAGATACTAGAAGAGAATACGAATACGAATATGTTTTCTTTGGTTTCCAATTGAAAATTGAAAAAAAATGTATAAATTGTGTATATATAAAAAGTCATTAAATGCATGTGTAACAAATATTGACTTTTTGAAAAGTAAATTCTTTATTAAAGTCAATGTTCAATATTTATCTTTCACATCTTTGACAACTTTGGCTTAATCTAGCTGTGCTTCATTTTGGATTTTATGGCCATTTTGTAAGTGAAAAAAGAAATCGAATTGATTTGTAAGACTCTTCCTCCCTCTTCTCGCTGTTCTCGCACCTCTTCTCGGTCGCTTTAACAATATTCTAATCAAGTGATTGTGCAAATGGAAGACGGAGATTGGTCCAAATGTGGAATGGGAAATGGGGGAACATTTGTAAATGATGTGTTCGAAGCTGGGCCTTTGGCGGCAACAACCAGGCTATTGCATCATGGCATGGGACTGGTTCAGGGTCGGATTCGGATTCTGGTTCGGGCTCGGTGTCGGTTTCATGTTCAGCTGCAGATGGCGACACATTCGCAACAGTTGAACAGTTCGTTTGCCTTGTAATTTGATTTGAATGCCGCCAGGCTGGTCTCTTCCCAAGCGTTAAAGACATTATGCTAAATGTGTAAGAAGCAAATGTTTCCTTGTACCACCTACCCCCGCCGACACGCCTGGCTCCCCTTTTGGTCGTCGACCTGTGTCACTTGACTGGGCAAAGCAATCAAATAAACTGAACTCCTACATGATGGGCTCTAGGCACTTTTTGGCAGTGTTTTTGCGTAAAGATTATGTCGTTCACTTTACCATTGGCCTCTTATATTGGGTTCAAAATGAGCTCCTGCTATTCATTATGAAAACTTTAGCAAGTTAATCATAAAGTGGGGTCAACTTGTATGGATCCTTAAGGTCCTTCGGTTTCAATATCCAAATTGCTTATTGCTTGCAAATCAGTCTCTGGAGTCCGATAATTTGAAACACTAGCCAAATGGCCTAAAAACCCTTTGTTACTAGATGGGTTATAAGGGGTTATTGAAGGCGGCTTTTTAGGCTGACAATGTTTAATAGCTGGCGACTGGGCGTGGTTGTTTGTGGTGGGCGTCAACTTGTTGATGATTGATGGCATTGAATACTTGGGTTGGGATTCCTGGAAGTCCTTCGTTTATTTTGTGTGCGCGTGTAAACAACATAAAACCCCGAACATTTTTCAATCAGTGGGCAATATTTGTTTACAAATATGTGGGTTGTAGAAGCTTAAGCGAATGTCACCAAAAATCTTTACAAATTATTTAAATTGCAGTAATTTGTCGTGTCCCAAAAAGTGTGTTTGAAGTGTTTCTTTTGAATACGAATTTTATAAAATTAATTAATCAAATATTGAAATGTTTGCGTGAAAAATGAAACTGAATATTTAAACTCTATATTTAGATATGTAAATATAACAAATGTGAATATTCTATTAATCGTTAATCGTTTAAGAATATTTGATTGGATTAAGTGTGCCAAGTTTAAAGGCGGAAGTTGTTTTGCTTAGCTAAAAGTTTAAGCGAAGAGCTTTATCTACTACTATAGGGCTTTTAAGTGAACACATATTGATGCATTAATTATGTACATATACATTACATCTATGCATGTGTGTGCTTACATGTGTATGCATATTAATGGACTTACAGACAGACCGAACGGACAGCCAACCCGGCAGCTTTTCGTATTTGTATTTACATTTGTATTTGTATTTATGTCCGCTGAACAGCAACCCGGTCGTACCCCCTCCCCCTCACCTCCCGCGTCGTCTATAGTTGGCTGCTATCTGTTTGTGAGTTTTGTCATGTTTGTTTGTAAAAAAATATGTAATGTCGTGTTAGTTTATCCAATGGCGTGCCGTCGTGTCTATTTTTAGTGTACAAGCTTTATTTTTAGACTGGCGGGCTGCAGCAGCAGCAGCAGCAACAACAACAAAAACAACTTCAACTTTAACTGCACAAAAGTACAAGCAAAGAAAACGAAACAAACGATAAAAGAAAAAAGGCGACCGCCTGTGATTGCATTTGCAACTTGTTGCTGTGTAGCGAGAGCGCCACACTAAGAGAGAGAGCAAAACATTGAGTGTGTTAGTGTGAGTGTGAATGTGAGAGTAGAGAGAGATAGATAGGAAGAGGGAGGTGGAGAGGAAAGGAAGAGGGTAGCGGTGCATTGAGAGAATGGTCACTGCACGTTGCGGCTACGTGATGTTATTGTTGGCTTTGTTACACAACTTCCAGTCAGTTGCTGGCTGCCTGCTCTCAATGTCTCTGGTTCAACTGTCTGGCTGTGTGTCCGTCTCTCTGTCTGTGTTGGCTCTCGCTTTTACTCTCTCTCTCTCTCTCTGTCTCTCTGTGTGCATTTGCATTTGCATTTGTGTTTGTATTTGATTTTGTTCGCTTTTGCTGTTGCTGTCGTTCACGTTGTCTGTCGTTACGTTTAAAGTTTACTTTTAGTTGTTTCGCCTCGCCTCGCCTCGTCTCACCTAACTTCTTCTGATTCTTGTTTTGCTCGATTTGTTTTTCTCATATTTTCCTTTGAAATGTGAATTCTATTTTTAGACCATTGGTCTTTTTATTCACCTCTCCGCAAGCGCATTTTTCGCTCTCTGTTTACATTAAAAATATTTAAATTGTTGTCACGTACCAAGTTCTTAATAGGTTACGTTATGTGTTTATTTAACTCATTTTGATTAGCTACCGAGAAAAGCACAACAAAAGACACTCTTAGTTGCCGTTCTTGCTGTTGTTTTTTGCTTTCTGTTTTCTGTGTGGCACATCAGCAGCAGTAGCAGCAGTAGCGGCAAAGCTCCGTTACACAAACTCGTTATACGTTATAAAGCAACGCATGGAAATTTACAGATTCTTCTCCCTACCAAAAAAAAAAAATATATATATACTAGTTGTTTTTTTTTTCGTCTTCTATTGTTGACCAAGCTGTAGTGAGGATGCATGCAAATATTTGCGAACATTCGGCTACGATTGTACAATTCTAGGTAAAGATTGTTTTGTCTCCGCCAAATCATCAAAACTTAAACTCTATAATATGTAAAAACATTCGGTACATGGTCACGAACGTGACGCAAACGTGACATTTTCGATAGGAATTTGTAGGGAATGCCAAACAACGAATAAAAAAGAGAGAGAGAGAGAGAGAGAGTGAGAGAGAGAATTAGTCCATATTCTAAACACGTATATTATATTAAACTTATTATTTTCAACACTAATTTAAGTATGACTACTTGAAGAGGAATAAGAAAGTTCTGAAATTGGGATGCTATCGATAACATCGATATCAAATCGATAAAACCACATTTCTGACACAATTTGAATGCCAGTCACAAAATTTGAAACGTAGATTACAATTAGGATTAGTAAATAAATTTCTTGGTCTCTATTCTAAAGCTAGATTTACCAAATGTAAAATTTCCTCCTTAGCCTCAACCGACCCAAGCATGTATTTCGCCAGCTGTTATCAGCTTATGTATTAAACAGAGCATGAGAGACTATTATTATTATTTGTCTGTTGTTTTGTATTTAACTTTCAGAATTTGATTATTTGTTAAATTTTCGATTTCTTTTCAAGAAGTTAATCTTCTTACAGCCTGTAATTTATGTAAACTTCGCAAATTTCTCTTCCGCTATTGCAAATAAACCGCCTGTTGGAATAAAGTTTATGGATTATTTTCTATTCTGTGTCATCATATTCGTATTGTTGTTGGATAATATTGTTGTCAATGTGACTTTGTTGGCAACTTCTTGATTTCGTTGGCAATCTTCTTGATGGCGGGCGGTATGCGTTTCGCGACGCCCGGCTGCGAGCTGAGGAACGAGATCTCAAAGAGGGCGGGTCGGCTGGAATAGACATTGTGAAGCATGCTGATGAACCAGAATAGTAAATCATCCATATGATTAATGGTGCACTGAGCGAAAACGGCGCCCGCATCCCGACCATGCTGATGCGAATCGAACAGCGCAACGATTGAGGATCGAAAATCAAAGGTCATCATCACCGTTCGACTGTCCGCAATGATGGCCGCAAACAGATGCGATGACATATCCCGATTGCCGCTAGTGCCACCACTCGCCGCCGCCTGCTGGAAGACCTGTAATGTGATCTGAAAGATGCGGGATAACTGCATGGCAACATTGCGATTGTACATGGGATTGGTGGGATCGGCCTCCATGTGCGTGTAGAACCACTCCTCCAGCCGAAAGTTCATCTTGTGCTGTGAACGTATCGCCGATATTGCATCCGGTATATTGAGATTCAGATTCCGAGCGGACGGTGTATGGGCTGTTATCGCATTGTGATAGACATTGTTGCCATCGTTCATCGCATTGCCAAACATTTCCCAGCCACGGGTTGGCAACTCTGCCACCCGATTATAGAATCTCTCCGTCTTGGCCACCTTATCGGCGAGTATCAGTGAGATCAGCGTACACGAATTGGTGCCACTCTGTTGATAGGCCCCAAATCGGGACTGGCAAAAGTCACGTGGAAACCACCAGATGTTCAGATTGTCGATCTGCTCGTGTACGGCCATCTTCGGGGAGTTGGTTTCGATAGATATCAGATAGATCGATACACCAAATACAAACTATCAATATTTATGGAAGCGAAAAGATGGTGAGGAGGATGAGGAGGAGGAGTTTAAGGAGTTGATCTTGGTTATTACCGCACACTGGGCCAAGTCTATGTTGCTGCTGCAGTCACATAATTCATCATCCAAATGCACTTCTCCTTGTTGGGGCTTGTTTGGGCTATTTTGTTTATTTTTTTGCCTAGCTAAACATTGAATTTTGGTATTGGCTATTGCCGGAGGAGTGTCGAAAACGAAAACGAATAATTTTGAAAAGAAAACAAAAAAAAAGAATTTCTAACAAACAACAAACATTATGTGTGCGACTAGACAGAAAACTGAATGTGAATCTGAATATCCCAAAAAATTATGATGATGCCCGATACTTTTCGAAACTATTTTTGAATGATGATCAATAAAGTTTTGATTTTCTCATGTAACAGACACAAGTAGTTATTAATCCTAGAAATGGGAGGGTATTAGGCAGTCAATTACATGCATATATCGTATTTTTATTTTTATATCCAATATATGCATTGCATCGAATTGTGTATTCATGCCACATACATTCTCCAGTTGTGCCACGCAGCGTATACGCATTCATTCTGTATGGCACTCAAAATGGCGTCGTTTCAGCATTTTTGAGAAGTGTCAAATGGCTTGGCAAATATTTATTACGACTGCAAACGGCAAATGGCGCCCAAAAGTAGTTTCTAGCCCCCCCTTTGCCAAGATACTTTGTAGCTTGGTTCTAATTTGAAATTGCAACATGGTCCAAAACAAATAACTGAGATTAATAAACACAAATTGCGAAAAGTGAGCGAGAGAAATGGAGGGGCGTGGATCGGAAATGCTAATTTACATTGTTAGCTGTTAGCTCATTAGGCCAATGTGTAAAAAATATTTTAATGGGTGAGCGAAGGCGATGCATTTAGCAAGGAGACTTCTCAACTAGAGAAAATTTTCAATTTATTGATAAACAATTTTCTTAGTGATTTAAATTGAACGAGAATTATACAAGCAGATCATATTTTACTTAATAACTCTTATAAATGTCATGCCAAATTTGATAACTCAGTGATGACATTTATCCATAAGCACTTTTGTTTTTATGTCATCCAAGTCTGCACTCGCATTAATGTATACAGCATTAAAAGTATTTATCGCTTTTGTCATCAATAAGCATCCAAGCGTAATCCAATTAGGAAGAGATGACGACTGCAACAAAAGACAAAGCTACCAGCCATATTATATAATGTGTGTGAACTAACAGGTGCATGATTAATGCAATAACAAGCATTGCACAAGAGCGCAGAGGACTCTGAGCACAGATTTAATGCGAGGTGTCGATTATGTGTGTTTATTCAAAAAACAACAAACACACAAATGCAGCGGCAAATGCAGAACAATGCAAATTGGCATCAAGCAAACATGATTCTCCAATAGGCGGTTAGAGCAAAAACTTGCACACACCCACAAAAAAAGGAACAAGCAAGAATGTTGTATTCGAGTGAGCTCGCTACGATATTTTTTTGTTTTGTTGGCATGTTTGTCTTTTAAATGTTTTGCACCCAAATGTGAGCAGTTCTGCAAGTGGAGTCTTTTCTTATGGCTGTCACGGGCACTACAAAGTAAAGAAAAACGAGTGCAGCGCATTTTTTTATTCACAAGACCGAACTGACCCGAACTGGCTATATACATATGTAGAAACAAGCAATCGTAAGTAACGGAACTTGCATTTAGCCATCTCTTTCTCACACATTAATATGATAATATATTTTCGACTAAAACTTGAGTCTTTGTTATCCAATCTTGATGCAATTTGGGCAGTTCAGATTTATAATATGCCTGTGCATATTAAGTCTTAATTATAAAATTTTGCCTTTAAAAGTGTTAAATTTATTGCTATCGAAAATTAAAGTGTATCGATATTCGATAAACGGAGGCAGTTATCGATAAAATAAAGCAAACTTGATCTGCACCGGAAGAACCTATGTTCCTAATTTAAAGTCTCTTGCTTTGAGATCTGCCAATTCATACAGACAGACGGACATGATATAGCCTCGGCTGCTTATCCAAGAATATATATACTTTATGGGGTCGGAAATGCTTCCTTCTGCCCCTTTTACATACATTTGCACAAAACCATTATACCCTTCTTACTCAATATTTAAAGGGTCCAGGGTATAAAGATACAGAAAGATCCTGACGGCAACATATGAAACGAAGTTCAAGTCGACACTTTTCTCAATGTGAGCGAATGTTTTGGACATTTGAAAGTCAATAGAGTAGACAGGATATTGCAATTTACTCATGCACATGAAAATATATACACATGTATATATACATATATATATGTATATGGAATTTCATTTCTTGCTTTCTTTGTGTTTCCTCTTTGTATTTTTTGTGTGCTTAACTGCGTCAAACATGCAGTTTTATTAGATGCCTTTGACATTTTCTTTCGGAAGTACTTTTTGCATAAAGAACTTTGTAACTGTTAAGTTATGTGTAATAAATTGTAATCATATTTAACTTGACTTATTATTATTATTATTTAAGTGACTTATCGCTTTAACAATTTGTGTTCTTCTTGCAGCTTGTAAATCTGTTAGCACCCATAGGCGTCGCGCTGAACGGCCCCGGCCTAAGGGGCCATGACGCGTTGGCCCTTCAATTTACTACTATTGCTCTCGGTGGCAGTACGCGACTGTAGCAATCGTACCATCCTCACAGTTGGCTATCTAACGGCACTCACTGGCGAGCTCAAGGACCGCCAGGGATTATCCATATCCGGTGCGCTGACAATGGCACTGGAGGAGGTAAGCGTTTTCAACCAACAATTTATAATCTATATAAGCTCTCCTCAAATTCAGTTAATCCTTTCTTTTTGCCTGTCGATTCAACCACAAAAGCTTATACAACCCCGGGTCAATAAGCTTGCTTTGCCACCTGTCAAATGTCATAATAATTTATGCTTTTTGCTTTGTAATTGGCAAATTGTGTTGAATTCGAGAGCATTTTATTTCGATTAGTTTTCATTTACAATGGCAAATTTCCAGAAATCATAAACCAAATAGTTTTATTGTTATAAAATACTTTAAAGCTCTCTCAATATTTTCTCCTTAAAATGTTTCAACAATCTGTAATAGATGGTTCTTTTTTTTTTAGAAAAAGAGCATTTTATTCAAATTATTGTTCATATTTTTAAAATCTACTAATATACAAAAATGACTGTATAAAAAATCTTTTATTATGGGATGTTTGATCTATTAAAATACTTGTAGTATTTATAATTTTTGTGAAATAACTGAAGCAGATATAAGAAATTTAGGAGCATTCTAGTAAAATAAAATGAAATCTAATACCTGAGTTTTTAGTTACTTAAGTTAATCAAATCCTTATTCTTATAGATCAACAGAGATCCACACTTGCTGCCAAATGTTACGTTGGCGATGCGCTTTAATGATACCAAGGGTGATACGGTGCTGGCTACCAAGGCCATCACCGAGATGATATGCGACGGCATTGCGACCATATTTGGTCCGGAGGGACCCTGCTATGTGGAAGCCATTGTCTCGCAGAGTCGCAACATTCCAATGATATCCTATGTAAGTAGATGCGAGATGGGTGCGACTGTTATACATATATATATATATATATACATATGTGCACATTTACACCTCTCACATTTGTGTGTCGACATGCTTGCTGTGTCAAATGTAATGCATTTCTTTCTCTATGGTTCCATCTCTTGCCACTCGTGTGTGCCATCGCCCGTCGTCCGACCCATCAACTTTCAAATAGAAATGCGCAGAGAACCGTGCATCGTCCATACCAACATTTGCACGCACCGAGCCGCCCGATACACAGGTGAGTGAAAGTGGGTATGGGGTTGGTTGTTGCTGCTTATGACCAACAGGCTGTCCATATATCAGCCTGACAGCTCCACAGTAAATGCGTAGCTGCGGAAGAAAATTGACAGAATATATTAATATATAAATACCTCTACCTTGGAGCACTTAACAAACGATGGAAATTACCAAATTTAACCAAAACAGCTGCGAAAAGATTTTATGGATTTATTGCACTTAAAATTATTATGAATTTAATTTTAAAAAAATAGCACTGGAAAGAAAAATCGAAATATATTCAAAGCATAAAACTGAAAAGAGTTTTAATGATGGAAGATATACAAAATATACAAATTTAATATTGCATTGTTGGTTTTTGTTGGAATTCTGGTAAATGGTTTGCCTTTCCTTATCGATTTGTAGGTCGTCAAGTCGGTGATTGCCCTGCTGCGCTACTATGCGTGGAATAAGTTCTCGATACTCTATGAGGAGGTCTGGGGCACCGTTGCCGATCTGTTGAAGGACCAGGCGACAAAGCGAAACATGACCATCAATCATAAGCAACTGTTTATCGATGATCGCGCCAAGTGCTGTGAACAGATGATGACCTGTTGCCGTTCTGGCTACTGGTATCAGGTGAGTGATGCTTTGCAAATACTGTGGATTTGATCTCACATATACCGTGCAGATTATGCAATAACTTATTCTCTCGATTTCTCTATACAACAGGTAGTGCAAAATACGATGAATCGCACGCGGATCTATGTGTTCCTTGGCTCGGCGAATAGTTTGATTGATTTCATGAGTTCCATGGACACGGCTGGGCTATTTGCGCGCGGAGAGTATATGGTCATCTTTGTGGACATGATGGTCTACTCGGAACGGTGAGTGCATCGCAGATGTGTAATGAGCAATTTGGAATTGATCAACATTTTTTGTATACAGTGAGGCACAAAAGTATTTGCGCAAAGTGGATATAATCAATCGGATGACCAACTGCAAAAGCACCGAGAACTTCAATCAACTGGCACGCAGTCTACTCGTGGTGGCATCAACACCACCCACCATGGGCTATGAGAAGTTTACGGAACAGGTGCGCAATTACAGCTCGATGCCGCCGTTTAATTTTACCGTGCCACCAATATTCCTGGAGAGCAAATTTAGCAAGGTGAGTTACGCTAATAAAACTAGTTAAATGAACATATTAATAAAATAATCATTAATTGCAGTTCATATCGATCTATGCGGCTTATCTGTATGATTCCGTTAAGCTCTATGCCTGGGCTCTGGACAAAATGCTGCGCATGGAGGAGCGTGTGCTCACCGATGACGTCATCTCTGAGGTGGCCAGCAATGGAACGCGTGTCATCGATACCATCATCAAAAATCGTACTTATATGAGTGAGTACTGTGTTTTCCATTCTCGAAATCTGTAATCGACTTTTTGATTGCCCAAAATTAGGTGTCACTGGGTCCACAATTAAAATCGATCAGTATGGCGATTCGGAGGGTAATTTCTCGGTGCTCGCATACAAGCCTCATAAGTGGAACATATCCGAGAATATACGCTGCAATTATCATATGGTGCCGGTGGCGTATTTCCATCAAGGCGAAGAACTTCCAGTGAGTGAGTCGTCTTCTCTTTTTTAGTTTCTTTACTTTGCATTACTTTGAGTTTGCTCACGCAAAAACCCACGCAACACTCCCACAACAAAGTCTCCGCCTACCTCCCTCCATATGCCCTCAACTCACAATTACTCGAATCACTCATGTTTTGCTACAGGAATATAAATTGATAAACGGTTCGATCGATTGGCCATCGGGCGGTGAGAAGCCCTTCGATGAGCCCATGTGCGGTTTTGCCAATGAGCTGTGCAAAAAGGACGATACGCATTATACATCCACTGTGGCGGCGGTGGTGCTGGGCGTCTTACTCTTCTGCTCCGGTGTGGTCACCATGAGCATCTATCGCAAATGGAAGATCGAACTGGAAATTGAGGGTCTGCTCTGGAAGATCAACATATGCGAAATCAAAGACTATTCGGGCAACGAAATTGTTGCATCGCCAAGTAAAGTAAGCGAAATAAAAACTCGATTCGTATAGTGCACTTCTCTAATTGTTGTTGTTGTTTGTTTTTTTTATTTTATTGACTACCAGGTCAGTTTGATGAGCGCCCAGAGCTATGGGTCCCGTTGGTCGCATCAGTTTGTCACCTCGACTGCGCGTCTGCGTGGCGCCGTTGTGCGTATCAAGGAGCTGAAGTTTCCCCGCAAGCGCGACATCTCGCGCGAGATTATGAAGGAGATGCGTCTGTTGCGTGAACTGCGCCACGATAACATCAATAGCTTCATTGGCGCCTGTGTGGAGCCCACACGCTTACTGCTAGTCACCGATTACTGCGCCAAGGGCAGCCTATACGATATCATTGAGAATGAGGATATTAAATTGGACGATCTGTTTATCGCTTCCCTCATCAATGATCTCATCAAGGTGATATCAACTTCACTCAATTTTGTATTTGTTTCTTTGTTTCTTATGCTTCCTTCCTTTTTCGCTGCAGGGCATGGTGTATATACACAGCTCGCAGCTGGTGTATCATGGCAATCTCAAATCCTCGAATTGTGTGGTCACCTCCCGCTGGATGCTGCAAGTCACCGACTTTGGACTGCATGAGCTGCGACAGTGTGCCGAAAACGAGTCCATCGGCGAGCATCAGCATTACAGAAGTTAGTGTAACCTCCACAAATCTTGTGGGCTCTCCATTAAATAATAAATACATAAACTTAATTTTACAATTAAACATGAATAGGATAGAATACCATATGAGATGATATCATTTCATATGATCATTATTTTAATTGCTTAATATTTTAGTAAATTTTATCACTATCTAAATTAATGTATTGTAAAATATTAAAGCTCTTAGTTATCTTAACTATTCAGCTTTATTCTAGCGTTCATTTTTGTTTAGTTATTAATTAATATATTAATATATAACTCATTAAGTTCACTTATATTTGCTTCGATTCCAGATCAATTCTGGCGTGCACCGGAGCTGTTGCGGAATCACCATTTGCTTGGCAGCCAGAAGGGTGATATTTATGCGTTTGCCATCATAATGTACGAGATATTTAGTCGTAAGGGTCCGTTTGGACAAACCAACTATGAACCAAAGCAAATTGTGGACTTAGTTAAGCAGTTGCCACTCAAGGGCAAAGAGCCCTTTCGACCCGAGGTCGAGTCTATTATAGAGGCCGAATCCTGTCCGGATTATGTGCTCGCCTGCATCAAGGACTGCTGGGCCGAGAATCCCGACGATCGACCCGAGTTCAGTGCCATACGGTGAGTTACACTATTTAAAGCCACCAACAACAAAAGGGTATTTATTTATTAATTGTTGTCCTGTGTGGCTTGTGCAGCAATCGCCTGAAGAAGATGCGAGGCGGGAAAACCAAAAACATCATGGATCAAATGATGGAAATGATGGAAAAGTATGCCAACAACTTGGAGGACATTGTCACAGAGCGCACTCGGCTGCTGTGCGAGGAGAAAATGAAAACGGAGGATCTGCTACATCGCATGCTGCCCCAATCTGTGGCAGAGAAACTAACCATGGGCCAGGGTGTCGAGCCAGTCTCCTATGATTTGGTAAGAGTCAGAATTAATTGAATTGTAACAATGGTAATTATTTCATTATACTATTAACTGTCGTCCTCTTTTCCAGGTCACGATCTACTTTAGCGACATTGTGGGCTTTACGGCACTGTCCGCGGAGAGCACACCGTTGCAAGTGGTAAACTTTTTGAATGATCTCTACACGGTGTTTGATCGCATCATACGTGGCTATGATGTCTACAAAGTGGAGACCATAGGCGATGCCTACATGGTGGTAAGTGGCCAACAGGCAGTTGATGACCCCCATGACACATATATATATAATTAAATCGCATTCATTGTTGGATAGGTCTCTGGTTTGCCCATAAAGAACGGCGATCGGCATGCAGGTGAAATTGCGTCCATGGCCCTGGATTTGCTGCATGCAGTCAAACAGCATCGGATTGCGCATCGACCCAATGAGACGTTGAAGTTGCGCATTGGGATGCATACGGGTCCGGTTGTTGCCGGCGTCGTTGGTCTCACAATGCCCCGTTATTGCCTCTTTGGCGATACGGTGAACACCGCATCGCGCATGGAGAGCAACGGCGAGGCGCTCAAAATACACATATCCAACAAGTGCAAATTGGCGCTGGATAAACTGGGCGGTGGCTACATCACCGAGAAGCGCGGCCTCGTCAGCATGAAGGGCAAGGGCGAGGTGGTCACCTGGTGGCTAACCGGTGCCAATGAGAAGGCCATACAAAAGAAGAATGTGGATATGATGGATAATATGCCGCCGCTCTTCAGTCGCCCGCGCAAGAGTCCCAAACTAAATCCGGACTCCAGGCAGCCCAGTTTGCTGGCCATGCACAATTGTGGCGCTGGCTCGCGTCGCCAGAGCAGCGTGCCACGTCCCCCGGACGGGGAGTCCACATACAGTCTGCAGGGCTCCTTCTATCAGGTGGCACGCGAATCGCCGCGTCTAACAGCGAAGCGGGAACGGGAGCGTGAACGGGAACGAGAACGGGAGCGAGAACGCGAGCGGGAAAGGGAACGGGAACGGGAGCGACCCTCGCTAAATGGGCTGGGTGGCAATTTTGTAGGCAATGCGTTGTTGGAGTCGGCGCACGCCTCGCTCAGCACGCTGAATCATTCCGATACAAATGAAACGAACTGTGATACTAATGAAGCCCTCGTCGGCGTCGCCGTTGCCACCAACGATGGCGGCGAACTGGAGCTAAATGGCGGCATCAATGGCACCACCACCACCACCGCTGCCGCCGCCGCTGCTGCCTCCGGTCTGGTGCGCCAGCCAAACTCGATACACAAGCCGCTGGCAATGGTGCGTCCGCAGCACATCATCAATGCCGCCCAGCATGTGGCCGATCTGTTGCTGTCACGTTCGATGGATCCGATGCCGATGCAGCAGCTGCGCAAGCGACACGAACGTGCCAAACTGCCGCCATCGAAGCTGTCGAAGAACAACTCACGCTCCCTGGACACGGGCGTCTCGCTGATCAGTGGCAATCCCAATGGCGATGCGACTGCAGCTGCACCGAACCAGAATGAGGGCGTTGGCGATGAGCTAGCGACCGATCCGATGGCGGATGCCACAGATGGCTATGACGATGAGCTGGGGCTGCTCATGCGTCACGACAACGGGCAACTGCCCACGTTGCGCTATTCGAGCAGCTTCACCAACAACATCCAGCCGATAATTGTGCCAGCCGGCGCCAGCGGTCGCCGACGTACCAGCAATGTGTCCACGGGCAGCAGCACCTATGCCAAGCATTTGAACAACAATTGCAACGGTGGCATGAGCATTGAGGAGGATATGCAATCGCCGCTGCTGCAGCGCCAGGCATCGCTGACAACGCCGCCAGAGGAGCTGATGGCACACTCGAAGCCTTGGCACTCGCTTGAGCACATGGAGCCGCCGTCTGGCGTCACTGGCCATGGGAACAGTGTCAGCTATGCCGCCGACATTGACGAGCATCGGAATCGTTCGGGTGGAGGTGATGGTGGCGCCTTGGATATGCACTCAGCTGGCAATCAGCGTGGCACACGCAGCGGCGGCAAACTCAGCAACTGGATGGCCAATTTCTTCAAAGGCAACGGCATGCGCAGCGTCGGCTCCAGCGGCGATTCCTCGCTGCGACGTGTCAGCATCCTGCCCAGCAATGTCCAAGGCGTCCGCAGTGGATTCACCGATATGACCAGCGCATCCACGGCGCGGGATCGTGAGAGTATTGTATAGTGTGAATGATGAGCGTTTGAAGTTGGCAGGAGAGGGGAGGAAAGTTACTCAGGAACAGTGCGAGCAGGAAACGAATGTCTATGGATTATTATAGAGAATCACATGCATACACACATCATATATATATATATGTATATGTATATATATATACATGTATATGTAGGAGAACTATATTATATTATATATTTTTGGCTTATATCATTGTTGTATGTTTATTGTCGTTTTTGTGTCGATTTGTGTGTATGTGTTTTGACTCTATATACAAGTTCTATGTACATGTATACATAATATGTATGTATGTATGTATATATTATAAACAATAACTAAATGCATATATAAATATATATTTATATATTAGAGTAGCCATTAAACAACAAATATAAAAAAAAAAGAACCGTCTAGTCACAAGGTCTTCAGACTAGTTATTGTTTTATATAAAATAATAATAATATTAATAATACTATATGCATACCTATTAAAGCATAAAACGCACATACATACACACACACACACACACTCACTCACACACACCAAAACACACACATATACACCCCCAACACGAACGTATTTGTATGCAGCATAAAACAGTAAAACAGTCAATCATTTTTTTTTTTTTTTGTTTTTCTACAATGCGCAGCTAAAAAGAAATTATAATCAAATGTTTAGAATCAAAATTAAATTAGTTAATTATATTTGCACAAGAAATTCAAAATCACAAAACAAATATGGAAAACCAACAAAAATCTATGTGTTTTTGCTAGTATATAAACTAAGTGCGTGTGATTGTACGTAATTATTAAGGATAAACTACATATATACAATATTTAAATATATACATATATATATATAAATATGTTTATGTATATATATGTATGTATAAATGTGCATATGTTTACATATATAAATGTATGCAGATGTATATGTATGCGTATGCATCAATTTATTAGCTATTATGAATGATAATAAATGAAAATGTGAGCAGAATTGCAGAGCGCAGTGTAAGCTGTTGTTTAGCTGTATCTATGTATATTTTTAAAAATATGAAATTTGTTAAATTTGCCATATATAAATACAAACAAAACAAAAAGCAGAAAAACCAAACTCATTTCATTTTTCCATCTTTTTCTTTATTAATAAGCTATAAATACTTGTGCTCGTGGAAGTAGGCAACATTTGTCGATTTTAGTGACAACTTATTTATATTCTATACAATTTTATTAAACAAAAAATATATGTAAATATTAAAAAAAAAACAAAAAGAACATTAAGATATCACCATCATCGAAGACAGAAGCTCCAAATTCCAAATTGCAATGAATTCATTACGCAAGCAAAGTTCGCTAGTTCCAAAATTTGAGCTTTCAAGACTATTGCTGAACATTGGAAAAATTGACAGCAAATCACTCGCTTGGCCGCGCTCAGCTACGGGAAATGGGTTGAAGGGAAGTCATCTTTACCATCAACTTCACCAATGCAATCCGTTTCTTAAGGTGCCCTTCACGCAGTCTACAATCCCCATTCATAAGATGTGCAGCAAAAACAATAGTTTTGAGAATGGGCACAACAAGGAACAATTTTTTCAAATGCTAAATTACAACGAAAACTTGATTGAAAACAAAAAGCAATCGAAAAGAAAGCAAAGCAAACGACTTTCAGGAGCATCACGTGGCATTAGTGATTTGTATATGAAATACACTTATCCTAAAGTATCATTTGACCCGGTTTACTCGACTGCTTGGCAGCTAAGAAGTGCAACAAAAACTGACCCAAGGGATTTGTACTTAAATTCTACTAATCGGAAAGATGCAGTGGTAGAATTTAAGTCCAAATCTCCTGTTAATTTGGTGGCAAAGTCCCCTGTCCGAAGCATATCTAAATATTACACAGTGCCATTGCAAAAACCAAAAGAAAACCCAACCTTTACTAGAGGAATTACTACAGCTAATATATATACTAAATACTTATTAGCTTTGGCTAATTCCATAGCGAAAATGGGCGATAATACGAAGCATAACCACAAAAATAGAATTGTAAGAAAACCATCTCTTAAAAACCTAATTTCGAAAAATAATAATCTAAAAAGGAAAGGACTCATAAATGACGAAGAAGTCAAGAACAGAAAAGACACCAAGATAAATTCAAAACCCAGGAATTCACGAAGACAAATCAAAAATCATTCTAAGAATAGAAATCAAAAACTATTCACTGAAGAAAATTTAACTGAAATACTTAAAGACGCAACCGGTAAACATGAAAATGAATCAATTATGGACGCCACAGAGACAAAAGTTGATTTCAATAAAAAAGAACCTGTAGATGAACAGAGACAGATAGAGAACCCTCCCCATCATGATCACTTTAAGACAAGGTCCTTAGATTTGCCCAGCGTAGTCAGGAGATACCGCTTTAAGGGATTAATCAGGAGAAGTCCAATAAGCTTGTCAACTTTGAATACGCCAACCGATAACTATGAAATCGATTATGACGGACCGGTCTTAGCTGAGAAATCTGAAAATTATAGTGATGAGAGAATAAAGGGGCAAATTACAAATAAAACACACGAAAATATGATTAGGGAAAAAAATGATGAATATATCCAATCTGTCAAAAATCATTATTGGAATAGAGATCGAAAGCCATTCACAGAAGAAAATATAAGTGAAACATTTAAAGATGCAACTGGTAAACATACAAATGAATCAAGCAGAGAGTCAAATATTGATTTCAATAAAAAAGAAACTGTAGATGAACAGAGACAGATTGAGAACTCTCCCCATCATAATAACTTAAAAAAAAACTCCATAGATTTACATAGTGTACTCAGGGGATACCGCTATAAAGGAATAGTCCGAAGAAGCTTGTCAACTTTGAATACGCCAACCGATAACTATGATATGGATTATGAAGGACCGGTCTTAGCTGAGGAATCTGAAAATCATAGAGATGAGAGAAAAAAGAGGCAAATAGCAAATAAGATACACGAAAATAAGATTAGGGAAAAAAATGAAGAAAGAAATATCCAATCCACGTACGAATATCGCGTGAATCAATTTAGAAAGTTTTTACAGGGCAGTGAATTAGATTTGTCCCAAATGGAATTGATAAATACTAATGACATTGATGTTAATCAATTTCTCCATTACCCATATGAGATGCAAAACACGCCAGTTGAAGAAATACCAAAAGTTATAAAAAAGAAAACTAAATCGGAATTGCCCAAAAAATCGAAAGATCGAAAGAAAATAGAAGTGAAAGAATCACCCAAACCCCAGCGAAAGTGTGAATGTTGTATTTGCATTGCAATGAACCGAAATAGGTCACTTGGAGATAACGCGATGATCGTAAAGATGAAGCAAGAATTAAAGCGTCTAGAACTGAAGGCATATATAAAAACTATGCAAGTTAATAGAAATGAGACTCAGACGCAATTCGATTCCGAATGTTCAGGTATTTTGAACGCCAGCAAACATCTACTAGTTCCTTGTGAAAAGTCCCCAAACGATTGTTATCGATTTTCGCGGAAACAGTCTATATCCTATAGAAACAAAGCTTTGCCGCACAGCCTAAGCAATGTTTATACAGAATCTAGGCAAACAAGCGAGTGAAGTTCAGTTAAAGACATTAAATTATGTTTTAAGTAATATATCCATTTGTTTTATTTTGATTTTATATAAAAGCTAGAAACTAAGTATAGTCAAATATAGATCAATATATCAACTTGCTTACATAGTAATCAAAGTTTCGTATTTTTGCTGGACTACAAATGAGTATTAAATAAATAATTTGGACTAGATTTTGATAAGTGAATAAATAATCACAAAAAGGCCGCAATTAAAAGTTTCTAATTTTAATTTTAAGACCGAAATATTCAATTGAAGATACAAGAACAAAGCATTCACTTATTATAAATGACTAGTTTCTGTTTTTGATATTATGTATATCTATTTCTATATATGTATGTACATGCTACATCGAATTGAATTTAAATGCTTTTGAAGTTCATATATAATTGAGCTTTACTCGAACCTAGTTTAATTGAAATCTCTTATTTAAGTGCCTAAGCCTAAGTCTATATTATTTCCAATCACTTCAAACTAACCTATTGGTGGTCTAATACTCGTATTGCTGATATATGTATCTACCCGTAACACATACTCTCCTAGATCAATCCAAAATACTGTTTCTCCTCTGTATTTATTTATTTACAAACTGCTAAACAGAGCCATTTCTTAGACGGCAGCCTCTTTTGATTTCGTCCTTGTTGCATTATCCAGAAGAGTCTTGGTTGCACTGTGATCCATTTGCTGTTTTAGCGTAGCTGCCTCGTAATCGCTGCCACTTTCATCCGCGAATTGTATGTCGTCCAGAGCGAGGTAGTCTTGAAGATCACTCGACCCCTTCTCCACAAGCGTTTCCTTCTCCACATATGAGCCCGACATTGATTGATTTGTATCCTTGATCAGACTTTGGTGCACTTCCGCTATGTCCACTGCCGGTTTGGAGCGAAGGGTGCCGGATTCGGACTCATTACCAGCACAAGCTAATCTGAACTGCTGTCTGGCCTGGCGACGCTGTTTGCGAGACATGAAGGGAGTTGGTTGCTTGGCAGGAGCAGTACTCTTCTGGTTTGGCTCACTGGGTGAGGTGGCCTTTGACTGCTGTTGGCTGCTGGGCAAGGAGCGTTCCTCAGAGCTAGGAGTGCTGTCTGTGGTATTGGACTTGCCGGCTGGAGACAGATATAAATGCCCATATTTGGGCATTTGTGTGTCCGCAAATGAGGGATTTGTCTCCTCGGGCACGGACATTGGCTCTGGTGTTTTATCCTCGTCCTCGCGCTCCGCTGTCTCCTCGAACGGTGGTATCCAAATGCAATACGCTGGATCCATGCCCAAGTAGGAGCCGGGAGCTGCACCCGCATTGATCACATTGTAATCATAATAGTCAAGCTCCAGCTCTTCCTGATTACCCAACGAGAACTCGGAACCAGGTCGCGCAAGTAGCTTCCTGCGATTCTGTTTCTCCTTTGACTCTTTCGGATTGCTAGTTGTCCGTATGGTGGCAGTGCTGACTACGCTAGCTGCCGGAGAATAGCAGCCCTGCAAAGCGATTAAAAGCGAATTGTAATCAAATGAATCCCAGTCAAATACCAAGCACTTACATTGGTTAGAGAAGCGCTAACACTGCGCGATCCCATGCGACCCAGGCATAGGGAACCGGAGCCAGAGTGCACAGATCTGGCATCACGCAGACTTTCGTCTAGACGGGAGCTGAGTAGCTTCAGGGTGACTGCATCGTAGCGATCCGAGTATTTGCTCATCCGATGGCTGTTTAGAGGCGGACTATTGCACAGTGAACTCATGCCGGAGGAAATGATCGATTCGGAATCCTTGGCACTGTCCTTGCTGCTCGCAGGATCTGCTGGTGACTGCACAATAACTGTTTGCCCCGTCTCCTCCTCGTTGCGCTGCAACTCTGGTTCACCCGACGAAGGTGATCCAACGGGACTGAGACTGTCCGTTGCCGGCGATAGGGATGTCAATGAGGCGTGCTCATTCCTTATGGTCATCATGGATGCAGTGCTGCCAAATCCCGGTGCTTCCTCACTGCAGCGTACACAGGTTTTTTTAGGAAACTCTCTTTTCAATATTCTCGGCCATGCTTACCCTTTGCTCACTTGTTCCCTGACAGCATCATCCTGGAACTCCGTTTCGTTGACATGCACATTCTCCACATCGGCGCTCTCGCGCAGTATGGAGTGGCGCAGCTTGTGCTTGGGTCGCATCTTCACCAGATAAATCACCTCGGAGAGCAGTGTGGTCGTCGAAATCGCCCGTGATGGCGGTCCGTGCAGTGAGCTCAGCGAATCGCGTGGTGTATGCAACTGGGAACCCTCATCCTGACGACGTGCCACGGCCAGATGATACTTGCGATACCGCACCATATACTGGGCACCTGTCGAGCGCAAATGTTGTCAGAAATAATAAGCAAACAATCAAAACATCCAAACTGATGTCGTCAATCAACAGGTTGCAATGGAATGAGACTTAACATTGTGCATGGCTTTTGAAGAGGGGCGTTGTGAGAGAGAGAACATGCGCTCTCTGTCTCTCTTCAAATGTTAAACATAACAGTGCAGTTTAACAGTGCAGTTTAACAGTGCTTAATAATTGGCGCCATGTTTTAAATATTGCAAGCAACTCAAAGTAAAGTTAAGTATTTATTTATTTAGTTACTCACCGAGGAGCGCGCTTATTATAATTATAATAGTGGCAAAGACCATAGCGCTAAGATGCACCAGAGTAAACCGCACCTTGGCCAGTGATTTCTTTTGCAGCACGTTGCGACTCTTAACAGACAGCCTCGTAGACGCCAATATTGTGGTGCCATTGCTCATGGTTCTCGGCACTAGATAAAGTAGAAATAAAAAAATATATATTTACATATATATAAATAAGAAAATTCGTATTAAATGTTAGCTTACCCAACGGCTTTACGTTGGCCATAAAACCACCGGTGCAGGCAGCTGCTGTGTAGCCGGCATTTGATGTTGAATTTCCGGTCATGTCACCCGAATAAAATTCTACCAACAACTGGGCTCCACTGGACTCGACGGCTAACGGAAGGCCGCCTTGACTTCCATCTTCACCAGGGGCTCGCCTGATGTCGGCCATTGTGGCCCCGTCTCCCTTGAGCTCCACCAGCAGCGTCGAAGATAACGAGGGTCCATCACGCACCTTAATATACTGCGTACCGCACGGCAGTCGTAAAAAGCTCAGCTGCATCCAAATAGTCTCCTCACCGTCGACCTAAAATATAATGCTCTTGAGAGAGAGAGAGCGAGAGGGAGAAAGCTCAGGAAGTCCACTGCCTACCTGAATGAGCCAAAAGGAACGTCCGGGACAGTTTTGCGTGGCGCCGGCTATCATGCGCTTGGGCTTGGTAGAGCCCAGATGCACGATACAGCCACAGCGGCAACCGGGTCCAATCTCTTGATGCACCTCGGTGACATTCGACTTGGTCAGCATGTTTCCACTCGTTTCATATATGCAATCCCAGGTGTCCACAGCGGTCTGGTTACATTTCTCCGATTGCACAGATGGGCCCTAAAAATATTAAAAAGGGGTTGACTAAGTGCTTAAAAATTTGTCTATACAATTATTTTAATAAATACAGATAATAAAATACGTATGGCATTTCATTTATTTAAATCATTTAGGCAAATAATGAAATAATTTAAAGAACATACAGATGCAAGCAATGCATGGACTAATAGAACAAATTTATCTCAAACTCATCCTCCTCATCAATTTCCTCAGCTTCGCCAATTAGGCCAGTGGTTCCGGTGACACCAGTTGACTGGCTCTGCAGAGACTTCACATCGGCCACTCTCTCGATTTCTTCTATTTCGGGTTTGGTCAATGGCGTGGGACCTGGTGGTGGAGCGCTACCCTCGCTGCTGGACTTCTTCACAGAGACTGAGGTGCTGGAGCCTTCGGGTTCCTCAAGCGGTTCCTCCTCCACCTCAACGTTATCATCTTCGCGCGATGATGACACATATAAGGTGGTGCCAAATTCGACATCGATTATGGATGCTCGATCAACGATTTTGTCCGCATCCTTGCCCTTGACTTGACCCTTCACCAGACATTCGGGGAGCGCTACCTGTAGATCTGGCAATTGATCGTGCACCTCCGTCTTGAACAGATCACAGACAGCTGGCCGCGGCTTGTGCGGCATGAAGCCCATTTTACCAGGTGTATATAAGGATGAGGTGACGGTGCCAATGGACTCCGCAGACGGAGTGCGTGGCAGCTCAGCCGAGTGCGAGCTAACAATGTTCATCAGCGTGGAGAGCAAATCGATGCGCGATAATTTATTCATGGCCACGGCTTCCTCTTTGACTTCCTCAATGACGTGGGGTTCATCGACGTTAGCCTCTTCGAGTCTCTCCGGGAAGAGCTTGATGCTCCGTTGGCTTATGATGGCATCTCGCACAGTCACTTTGATCTCCTGAATGATGCCGCGCAGTCGGACAATCTCCATTTCGTGTTGGTCGTGTATCGACTCCAAGTGACGCTTCTCGAACGTAATCTGCTCGATGCGCCGACACAGGGATCGCACCTTACCAACGGCATCCTTGTTCTTGGCATCCACAAGCATATCCGCCTCCTGTTGCTCCTCATAGGCTCGACGATATTGCAGCGCCTCAACATATTTGCACTTCAATTCCTCATAGTTATTGGTCAGGCCTTCGATGATCTTGATCTTGTTAATGGAGTTGCGCACGAGCTCATTCTTAATCTGATCCAGAGCGCTGTATTGCACCATGATTTCCTTGTGCTTCTCCTTCTGATTGTTGTACTGCTGCTGTAGCTTGATCTGCGACATCACCAGCATATCAATCTCCTTTTGCAGGGCAATGTTCTCCCTTATTAGCCGTCGAGTGTAGCCGGCATTGCGGATCTCACTGGAGCGCGTAAAGTCCTCGGATACCTGTAGCAGCTTAGCCTCCACCTCCTTTTTCAGAGCATCCTTCTCGACAACGGCTGCCTGCTCCATGTTGTAGAGTGCCTCCTTGTGGTATTTCTCCTTCTCCTTGGTTTCGGCCTCCTGATCATCGAACTTCGCCAGAAGTATGTCGCGTTGTATGCGAAACTCATCCAAGGAGTTCAGTTTGCCATTGAGCAGCTTTATCTCGGATGTCAACTGATCATGCATGGCCTTATATTTGCCCTCCAAATCCGAAATTGTCTCCTGTGCCACACGGTTCTCCACTTCGCGTACTTTAGACACTTCCACCAGACGCTCCTCCAGCTCGGTTATTGAATTGTTTCGTTCGGCCAAAGTGCGCTCCAAATGGGCGGCGACATCGGTTCGGTCATGGTCAATATCCTGCATTTTGGCCGTGAGGGCAACATTCGACTCATCCAGGCTGGCAAGATGAGAGCGCAGACGACTCAGTTTCTGGTTCAAATCGGTTATCTGCAGCTCGTAAAAGGTGCGATCAACCTGTGACATTTTGTTAACATCCTTATCCTTTGTAGTTCGTTTCGACGACTTTCTTCCTTTTGGCGGCATTTTGATTGATTTCCTTCAATAACTTTGGTAGCTGAACTGTTTGATTGCCCAATAATTTTGTGTACAATAATTCCAACTGTTACTATATGTTATTATAGACTTTGTGGACTCTAGAAATTCCTATAAATAACATGTTGCCCAGTTTGTTGTCAGGGCGATGAGCTTTGTGCAGAAAGCTTTTTAACTTAAACACAATGTTCAACTTTTGTTGCCAAGGTTTCAAATACTGACTGTTTTGCGAAAGAAATATATCACAGGTAAATGAGAGATTGTCCTACGTATAAGGTATTTAACTAAACCGTGATATAAGTTAACCTTTACTCTCTTAATGCTTGAGTAAATTCCTGCTGCTTAATATCTAACATATTTCTAAAAGCACATCAAACAATGCCACCGATTCGACAATTGTGCTCAACAACTCTGGCAAAACAAAAGTACTTCAACAAATGGGAATTCCTTTCAAATTCAGGTGTAACAATCGCATAATTTTCCTACCGGAAGCTTTTGGATAATGAGCAGATGCTTGCAACCATAGAGAGAGATTGCAAAAACAAAGGATTCGTGGAGTGCGCCATTGTAAAATGGGAAATGTTATTGCAGTTGCAAACACATCTCAAGTATCCTGTTAGCTGCAGACCAAATAACTTGTTCGTATTCCGTGCAGTTATTTCCGATACGGTTTACCAAATCTGTAAACTTGTCTACTCGACGAAATGTTTAAATTTGAAGTGTATTTAATTTTGAGCACACTAAAGTAACGTATGAACAGGATTATTAGCAGTTCACTCAAGAAAAGAATGAAAAAACAGGCATATTTTGAAAACAGTCGGCGGTATAATGAAGCATAAAAGTCTACAACTTATACTATGTAGATGAGCTCCATAGTTGCACAAAATACAATGTCTGCCCAATGAGAGCAACTGGAATAAAAAAATCTTATAAATAAAGTGTGCGTTTCCCACAGCCGCCCGTTGTCAGCATTGTAAATTTACCCGAGCAATCTGGAGCAAGTGTCGCAATATTGTAACACTCTGCCAGACACACACACAGCAGCACAACAAAAACATGGCCGACAGCATTGGCCCTGTCTGCCCCTGCCACCTCCCCCCGTCTCTGCCATTCCTTTCCTTTTTTTTTTGTCGGCGCAACAATGAGAAATGTGTGTGTAAGTTTGTGTGTGTGATTTAGTTGTAGGTTCGAGCAGAGGCAAGAATGAACAGAAGGATGAACTCAACTGTTAGTCAGACTAGATACAAATAAACATACATACATACCTTTAATATATATATATATATACATATGTGATGGGAGTGTGTGTGTTTCTAAATAAGTTGTGTCTACACACTTTATAGACAGAGTTAAAAAGCAAAAGTTTCGAGCGAAAGTTCGACACGTATCCGAATTATGTAGTACACGAAATAGGTTTACATTTAACCCAAGCAAGACAACTTTTTGTGCACAACTATTTAATGGGTGAATACGCAGCGATAGCAGTGATAAAACTAAAATACGCACCTCACAGAACTTGGCACCATATCGAGGCGGCGGCGAATCACAGAATCGATAGCGATTCCGAGTGCCACCCAAGCAATTTGTGGAGCAGGGTGTCCACTCACTCCACGTGCCCCAGCCACCAGTATCGGAATCTGCGAAATAGTTAAGATGATTAAGAAAATTGCAAGCGTTGTTAAGAAGTTAAGAAGTGGCCCAAAATATAAGCTCCTTAGAATCATCTTGTTTTTTCTTTTGTAAGCGCCTTTTAATTGCCAAGAAATCAAGTTGTGCAATTAACAGAAAAGCAACGCTTTTTAAGTACATCGAAAATTGCATACCCTTGCAGATCAGAGTCCATCTACACATTTTTCAATTTCTTTATAATATTAAAAAGTTGACCAATTGTTTTCATGGGAGCAATATGATATAGTGATTCGATGCTGGTACTTTTTTTGCTAGAATGTCAGCTAGAAAGCAGAGCTAAGAGAGTTTAATCAGTTTGCATAATTTCCTAGAATTTTTAAACTTCAATTCTGAATTAATATGGAAGCCAAATCATGCAAAAGGCTATTTACTTGAGAAAATCGTTAAAGGTTTTACAAAGTTATGGCTATAGAAATTATTGACATCTCTAGATGAGAAAAACCAATCAAATATATTCAAAAATACTGATTAACTCCTTTGCATGGAATGGTAATCATGCTGATCAAGAATATATATACCTTGTGGGCAGAAACGTTTCTTACACACTTCACAAGAGAATCATAATCACTCTGATAGCAACAATCTGAGAAAGATATTCAAAGACAACTCACCGCTGACTGGCAATGTGGGCACACAGTCCATGCGAACATCCGCAACAGCACCGGAAATGGCCTGGCTTACGTAGACGAAACAGTATTCCACATATTTCTCGGTGAATAGATCGCAGCTGAAGTACAGTGAGTGCTGGCTCTTGACGACCCGCTGCTCGGCGACATAGTGCAGCGATGTGGGTGGCTTCAGTGAGGCAACATCGGCACGCAACTTGGCATAGAGACGCACCCGATCGCCCTGCTCCAGAATGCAGCCGGGATATTCGTAGAGGACGCCCACGCCGGAATGCGGATCACAGGGAAAGATGCTGCGTGCATACACATTGAATACGTACTCATTGCTCCAGTCTACGCTGAGCATGCGCCTAGTTGTCGGCACATTCAGGGCAGGAGTCATGGGCCGCAGCTGGACGACATAGTTGCCAGCCAAACCAAACAGTTCACAGCCCAGTTGCAGTGTCTTCAGCTTGGGATAACCGTGCACCTGCTCCGCAAAGAGAACACTAGACTTGGACACATTGGCAATGTTGGGGGCGCAGGTGCGCTCCTTGCCACAGTAAACAAGCTCCAGCCAGAATTCGGGCAGCAGCGGTTGATCGCCGTGCAGTGCCCGCTCGCAATTGACCTCCGGAAAGCGTAGAGTGACCTTAACGGGCGCCTTGGGATACGTGCGCAACGTGACCGGGCTGACAATCATCTCGGCACTGGGCCATCGCACGTCCAGCGTTTGCAGCAATCGCTCATCCTGCGTTGGCATCAATGTTGTTGTCGTCAATCCGGGAATTGGGTCACTGCGATTGAGTGTTGTCGTCTTCAGATTCCTGACCACCTGCATCTCGTAGAGACCGCCACGTACAAAGGTCTGGCAGGGCACCGTCACTTGTGTGATATTTTGTCGTGGATCCGGAAAGAGGGGTATATTTTGGACAACCTCCTTGCGCCTGCGCTGCAGGACTATCTGATTTGTGGAGCTGCTGCTGCTGCTGGTGTTGCTGCTATTAGTCGTGTTTTGTGGCAACAGTGGTTCACCCTCAGACGTCGCAGCATCATTAACGATTTTGCTAATGACTAAAGTGCTCATTATGGTGTTTACCATGCCCTCAGTTGCCGTTTTCGAGCCCCTGCCCAAGTCGGGCCTGGCAGTGCTCAAGTGGGCGTTGCTGCTGACACTGTGATTTGTAGGCTGTAGCTCGGTTATATTGGTCTGATGCCCATTCCCAATCCCATCGTTCTCATTCTCATCCTCGCCGGTGAATTGTATCTGCACATGCAGGTCGCCGCTGAGTGCAGTAAATGTGCTCGGAGACATCAGGCGACCCCTTCGAACCGCCAGCACGTGACCTTTTGTTGAATTGAAGCCAAGACACAAACGTACAAATTAATCACCACATTCAAGGCAGGCATATAGAGAAAGAGAGAGAAAAAGAGATAGAGATAAGACTCTTTCAGTAATTTATTATTCTCCGACAACAAGAGGAGTTGCCTTCCTTTTATGACGCCTCTTTGTTGTGCCCAAGTGCCCAGAATTGGCATAGGCATAGAAAAGCCTTTTATAACCGACTCCACTCAGTTTTGTTCATGTCCTTTGTGTAAATTGCCTATAGGTGAATTGTGTCATTCTAAACACAAAATGGAATTGAACGTATGTTATTCGTCCACACAAAACAAACACATATTAAATTGATTAAAGCATAACAGACAAATATTCAAATTAATCGAATTTACTCGTTTTATATTCAATAAGTTTAATTCGGAGTTATTCAGACACTAATCAACACATTAAAGCTTATTCTAATGTGATAAAAAACCAATTGATTTGATCGACCAAGTGCCAGAGATCAAATAAAGATATGTAGCTGACTTAATTGAATTGACTTTTGCTTTTAGACAAGTGTCCAAACTTTTGGGGGGTCACAGTTTTTCCCCTAATTCCGTCCACTTGTCAAGCAATTTTATACAGTCCATTAACTGCCCGACAAACATAAGAATGCATTCAAGCCAACTTAAGGACATTTGTAATGGATGAAGCAGCTAAGAGTGACTTGGCGTACTACATATTATTTAGTGTCTTTTTGAATAGGCACTTCTGGCCAACTCATTCATAAATGCGACACAAAATAGTTGTTGTTCAGAGCTTGATGTGCGTTCATAAATCAGGCTTAAGATAAAGTGCGCAGTGCTGCTAATTCCCCACTGAGTTGATAACTCCACGCATAACAAAGTAGACTGAATGTTGGGCTAAAACAAATTGCGCCTTATTTTATGATAGATGCTACGGAATTTGAGCAAAGACAGAATTATATACATATATATATATATACTACGGGGACGACTGTCACTTACTTGTGCAGCGAAAAGCAGCAGGAGCATTATTGATGATATCATAATCTTCCACTTGACTACTGATTTGAGGCCTGATGCTGACGTGCCAACTGTCTTCTTCCGCTTTCGATTCGTTGCCATTTTCCTTCTTGTGCGCTTCCTTCTCGCCATTGTCGTCTTGCCTGCTTCCTCTGCCTCCTTCGCCTTATTTCTCTACTCTTACGGTCTCTGTAGACGGTGTTGTATGGTGGCTTTGACGAATTGAGCCGTTATTGTTGCGGCTCGGTTGAGCGCCTCACCATGCACCCAATGTATGTGGCAGGAGTCGCCCAACTGAGGAGCTGTTCTCTGTTATTTATTGTGTATGGGTATTGTGTTTTTGGCTTTCCGACCGGTTAGAGATTGTCCATTAGAAATTAATGTCGATGGTATTTGGCTCACCATTTCTGCAAGTACAAAGATAAGAGAGCGTTAAGCGAAATATAACAATAAGCCACACAAAAGCAAAGTAATTGCCATAAGTTATGATCAGATAAAAAGATTTTTGTGTTTATAGCACAATTTTTAGTAAATTGATTAAACAAAAACTCAGCGAATTAATGGTCATATTGTGTTCTATTTTGTTATTTATTTGTTGGTTTTCTCTTCTTTTTTTTGGGGTTGCTTTTGTGTGAAACAAAATTTACGCATTCTTCTTATTTTGCAAGGGGGTTGATATCTTTTGGAACTTTAATACAATTTACGCTTTTCAAATTTTCACTCAAATTACGAAACTTCTTTTAACTTCATGCTAGCTGGTGGACATTTGGAAAACCGCAAAACATTCTCAGCTCATGTTCAACTTGAAAAAAAAAAGAGAAAACCCTAATGGCTGATGTGTTATTAGTGAAATCGACTGTCATTGAGCCGTGTCCGGTCATTAATTACTATCGCGTGCGTATGTTCATTTTCTCAACTGGTCAGACTGTCTGTTTGGGCACCAGTCATCTTTCAAAGATGGCCTAATTTGGTTTTGGTAACCACCTAATGTGTTCTGGTCCAGTCGGGCACACGTGCCACAGGGTGATATTTCACAAAACGTTGCTCGTTTCCGTATTAAAGGGGATGGAAATTTAAGGTTAACTGCTGAGAGCCGATAAAAAACAACCAACGAGAAATGCTTGTCGGAAAAATTCGAATATTTTCAAGTGGGGAAAAACTTAATGGCTTTATCACGCCCAAAGTGAGTGCAAAGAACAAAAGTGTGTTTTTGTCAATTTGCAATATTTCAGTGCAGTTAAATGGATTTCACACCAAAGGTAAACCTTTCATTGTGTGTCGAAACCAATTAAGCGAAATTGATATGAAATGGAAAATGGATGAATGGGTTTGGTCACACTGTGCGTGTGGGAGTTTGGGTGCCCCATGCAAAATGATCAACTGAGTGTAGTAAATTTACAATCAATTGCACATTTTACACAACCCAACCTCCAAATCTCTATCGATGGCCATCTCTGGCACCCGCCCGGCACCACCATCATCGTAAATATTGATGAAGCGCACACAAACGCACACTCAGAAAAAAAAATTGGGAAAGAATTTCAGAAATGTATCACTTTCGTATTCAAAAAGTGTATATCTAAAAACCAGGATTTTCTTTTCTTTAAAAGATGAGCCAGTAAAATTCACTATTTGTTCTGAATTTTAGAAAAGGATTTTTTTTGCAATAATGAAAGTTTGCATTATAACTTTTTACAAATTTTCATAAATGAAAAAAGTATACAAAATATTTCGAAAATTTGCTGTCCATTTATGGCAAGCCTTTCTAATTTTTAGAAATTTGTGTTCTTATATTTAAAAACTATATCTAAATTAAAGTTTCTAATTAAAGAAAACTTTATAGTTTTTACGGTGATTTTTTTCTGAGTGCAAGGACACATGGGCAAAGCCGTAAATCTGACTTTAATGTGCGGCATGGGGTTTTGCTCTCCCGCAAAAACTATTAGCTGCACTGTGCGTCAGCGACCGGGTCCGAGTCCGAGTGGACCGCCCTTCGATGTAGGCTGTTGTATCTGCATCCTAATTCGAAATGGATCAGAGGACCACAGCAATCGCAATGTGTAGAAAATCAAAGCGAATGCGATTGGAAAATTGTCAATATTCTTGTATTGTTGTCGTTGCTGTTTTTGTTGTTGCTGCTGTTGTTGTTGTTGTTGTCGCAGAGGCAGTATGAAATAGGCAAAATGTCATTGCCCCTGCATATGACCAGTCTGCATGCGTCGCTCTTCTCATTGCTGCTTCCCTTACTCGATTATACTTTGTGCCTCGAGTTTTCCACGTTATGCACATTTTACAGACTTTAACATTGCTTTTGTGTGTGTGTGTGTGTTGATGTTTATGTGTTTTGCGGGGGTTGAATTTTTCCTGAGTGCTGAAATGCGGCAAAAAGCAACCACATATAAAAAAAAAAAAGAAAACCAACAAAAAAAAAAGAGAAGAAAAATGGAAATGGAAATGCTCGTTTCAAATATACGTATTCAAACATTTACACGCTCTGTTTACCTCTAATCAGTAGATAAGGATGAGGAACAAGCTGAGCGTTCACATTGAAATGCCCATTAACTAGCCCACATGCGGTATCCCCCTCCCAATTCATGACTAAATGTAAATAATATTTGAAATGCTAACAGCCTTAATGGATTTTCGAGCGTTATTATGTCATCAACGCGACTTATGCGATTTAAATATACTTAATTTTATATTTTTATTTGGCATGTGGGAAGAGTAATTGTTTCAAATAGTCATAAAAAATAATTGAATGTGATGTTCATTCTTGGAATTATACTAGAATATTGACAGGGTATTTAATAGATCATGGTTAAGTTGCTTTTTTATGCTAGAATCAACTATATAAAATACATTTATAAATATATCTAATTAACTGGTTAACTCGTCGACTTTCTATAGAGTTATAAACTTCATAGATTCTATAATTATTCTTCGAATTACAAATACTAGAAATGCAATAGCATATATAACAGATTTACTAAATAAAATACGTTGGATAAATATAAAAGTTGGTTGTTTTTAGATTTGACATTCTCATGAAATATACGTGAAGCATTTGCCTTTGTCTTTGTATTCTATGACAGGCTTTTGTGTGTCACCTTCAACTACTTTTATAAGCCGAAAATAAGACTAGTGGCAGCTGCTGGTGTTGCAACGAGGCCAAGTACCGCTCTTTCCCTCCCTTATAACCAGACATAACGAAATTGCACTTGACCCCGAACCCCCCGCAAACAATAAAAAGCTTATATCACAGCAGTAGCGAACAGTTGCAGAAATATTACGCATACGCCAGGTTGGCCACAAAAACCACAATTATTCGCACCGTGCAGTTTATTGGACTTACTTAAATGATTGTTTGTGGGATTGGCACTTGTTGTGATAGCAAATTTTATGAACTGTTACCGTGGCAATGACCCCCGTTCTTATTATTGCATGTGCCCCGACATTCCCGGCCAATTCATTATAATTACAGTTGAGTTTAAGCTGCGTTGCAAGTGAAATTGACGTGCAACCAGTTGTGAAACGACACAAGTGCGAGTGCAACGCGAATTATCTGCAAATTGTGTGGCAGACACGAGCAGCATTATACGGATTTTCCACAAGAGCAGACATGTCAGTGAAACTACTACCGCAGTGCCATGCGATTGCGATTGGCATTGAAGGATGCGAATGTGCATGCGGTTGAGTTCGAGAAGAGCGACGGCGAGATGAGATGCCTGTGATGATGCCCCCACAGCAACGGCGGCTGCTTGTCAACAGCTAAGCACTTCCGCTGCTTAGTTAAAGCAGCATTACACACACTCATGTCTAACTTCTTTATCAGAAGTAAGTGCGAGTTGTACGTCCACAAAAGGCATCTCAAATTCACTGACACACCCACATTGCGCTACCAACTGCAACTAGTCCAACGTATTTTCCGACTTTCCGCTTGATGTGTCGCCATATTACGGCTCCAAGTATGAGGCGCCCCAACCATGAGGTCCATGTGCGAACATTTTAAAACAACTCAGACAGCTAAAGGGTTGCCTGCCTGCCTGCCATATGGAAATATAAATAAGCAACAGAAATAACACAAAATAAAACGAGCAGGCAGCAACAAATGTGAACATTTACAATGTACATAGTACACTCTAAGCTCACGTGTATATGCATCTGTGTGTGTAGATGTGTGTGTGTGTGCTTGTGTATTTATATACCCAGACAGCCGCAGGGCAAATGCTTGGCTTGCATGCAAGCGGACCTTTGAAGGGACTCGACTCATTCAGTCACCGAGGCAGGCCACCAGGCATTGACGTTGGTGGGCTGCTTGGACTACCTTTGGGTAAAGCTTTATGAGCTAGTCGCTCCTCTATTCAATATTTGAGGCGACAAATCACCAACTTATATAGTCAAGACCGTGTACACGTCAGGGGCGTATTTGGTAAAGTTTTTTTGTGGAAAGTGCATTAGAAAATAATGGTATACTTCATAAAAACAAAAACTTTCTTACACTCTTTCCTCTCGTGTCAAAGTTGTAGTTGGTAAATATGTATTGCGATGGCTGCACTAGCAAATTATAGAATACTTTAAAAGGAAACTTGCTAAAATAATTTATTCTGCAACATTTTACTCAGCTATTTACAGCAAAATTTTAAATGTATTTATGTTCTCTGACACTCTTGACCCCGTGTCCAACTCAGGTAAACATTATGGTGGGCCCTACACGTGGAAAACATTTAAGGAAACTTTTGTAAATAAGATTTATGCTTTCTTGCATCCTCCCCCCTTTTCAACGCCCCTGATTTGGTTGCTCAGGACAGGTTTGTAGTCAAATAAGTGACTAGACCATAAACTAAGACAGTTCACCACAACATACATCTCTGACAATTCTTTAGCCACGCACATATGTACATTTATGAATATATACTAAAATATTAAGTTAGAGCTCTCCAATGTACAGTCAATGGGCTTGGAGTTTGTGGTTAAGCTGTTCAAGGATTCAATAGACAGTCAAACAGAGAGTTACTTTTTGTGATTAATTAATTTGGTTTACAGCTCATGAAATCAGTAAATTATGAGAGATTTGAAAATATTACCATAAATTATTGTCTATTATGGAATTTACATAAGTATTTGTTATCAAAAAGTGCGCAGTAAGTTCTCTAAGGATATTGCAATCGATTTTTGAAACGTTTAAGCCAAAGATAAGAAATACTCCCCATTTTGGCATATACAAATTGAATTCATGATTATCGGGGATGAAACTATAC